TAAGACCATCATATGCCTAGTGATTAATTTTGTATGAATATTCTAAACACGCTATTCTTTGGGACCTATTTTTTTCTAATTGCTTTTAACAATATAGCTATACCAATTACTAGCAATTGCATTAATTGCCTTTATAGCTAAATTAAGATTTGGTATTGCTTTAGCATAAGATTTAAACCAAAAAGTAGTAAGGATTAATTTCAGATTTCTATAAATCTCTCATAGGATTGTGTAAATATTTCTAATACAATATTACCAGGAAGGATACGCTTGTTATCTATATCTGTAAAGCCCAATATTTTAAAAAGTTCCTGCATTACTTTCTAATAATTTGCTGAATAGTTTTTACATAAGTTCTCTGCTACTGATTTTTCTAAATTCTCATCAGCTTTATAACAGGTATCCTCCCACTGTGCAAAGTCTTTAGCAACTAAACCTTCTATTGCACTATCTTTATTACAACCTTGCTTTCAGAAATAAGATAAGCACAGAAAATATTTCTGAAGTTCAAGTGAACTAAAACATTCTACAAATTTCTTATTGCAAAGATTATTCTAATCTTCAGTACTTATATCTTTACAGCTATAAATATTTCGCATATAGAAACGTTTAAAAGCTATAGTATCTGAAATAAAGTGTTCTTAGTCAAACTTAAAATTTTCAGCTTCTTCAGAACCAAGATTCTGAGAAGTAGCAACTGCGTTAAAATCTGTTTCTTTGATAACTAATGCTTCAACTCTAACTTCATTATAGATTTTTTTATAGTTCTCTATAACTTCTCAGCTCTCATTCATTTTTATTTGTTGGAAAGAAGCACTAGTACTGGCTATAAGACTACAAAGCTTCTCAATAAAATATCTTGCAGAAAAGTATTTCTGATGCTCAACTTCAATAAATGTTATTATAGCTAGAGACTTATTAACTTTATAAGAAATAATATTATTATTCCATTCACGATGTCCTTTTATTGCTGTAGGTAAATTATTAGGTCGAGCACTTTCAAGTTCTGCTCGAATATTTTCATGACCTAGTGAATGAAAAAGCTCATTAGAATTTTTCTGATAGAACATAGAAATAATATGACAAGAACAGTTGCGAATTTGATAAAGTATTTGTACAAGGGCCTCAATATGAACAAGAGTAGCAATGTTTATAATAGCTATAACTATATCGAAGTAGTCTGTAATATTCCTGCATCTACAGTATTTGTATAGGCTATATAGTGAAGTTCGTCCCAGGCATTATTAATATTAGAAAAGTTTTTTTGTTACTATTTTCTATTCATATCCCATAGTATGCATGAGCTCTAATAGATGAATTATTGGGTTTAAATAACTTAGACACTATTTTTACTAATGCTCTAGTCATCACTGCTCCAGTAGATACAAATGCTACATGTTTACTCTGCCTTAAAAACTCATAACCTATTCTTATAGCTTCAGCTCCACTACTCAGATCATAAAGAATTTCAACTGTCTCACCTACACGAAGCTAGTATTTATTATCAATTATGTGAATGTCTTCACCATGATATACTTTAAGAAATGCTAATGTTAATTCATTCACAAAGATATCCATAGCCAAAACATGTCTTGTAGATCTTAAAATATTACACATTGCATTTTCAGATTCTTGTGTATTTGTACTACTAGACATTTAGTATATAATAGCATTGACCTCATTAAGAATAGCCACAAAGGGACGGGCTATAAATTCAACACAGAAAAGACTTTCAATCTGTACTATGATAATGTTCTACTCATTTATAGATAAGTCTTTTTGCATATTTTAGTAGTTGCAAATTCGAAAACCTGATGCCTCCAACTCATCAAGTTTCACTTTTGATTCATTGCTAAGAGACTTTCAATAAGAGATCCAAATAAAGCATAGCAAAAAAGAAATATTATGTACTTTATCTTTCAATACTATAATAATTTCTCTTAATGTAGTAGTTTTCTATATTTTTAGAGGAGAATGAATAAGAGTTATCATTTTCTCAGTACTCAAAAAATCAGGATATGCTTTGGAAGTATCTTTTAATTTTTCTACATTAATAGTCATCTCTAATAATTCTATAAGAGAGCGTAGATTTGATATAATATCAGCTATTTTTTCAACTATTCCTCACTTAGGTTTTGCAAAAATTTTAGTCACTTTTCCAAATGCTAATCCCTTATAATCAGGTTTGTATTATTTTTGCTAATAGCATTTGAGTATAAAATATTCATCTTTTCAGAAAAAGCTATACAACTAATTCTTTTCATATTTGATATTGCAAATAGGGTATTCTGTAAATAATTTGATATGAAAGATAATAAACCCTTTTTCAGCTTTTCCAATCTCAAGCTATTCATACTTTGTAATAACTAAGCTAGCTCCCTTGTTTAAGGCAGTTTCATCTTTGATAAGTTGGAACTCCTCTTTTTCTGATTTTTTAGAAGAAAAAGTTCAGGGCCAGATTTTAGAAGCATCTAACTTAGGTTGAACTAAATAATCTTCTAGCTTGCAATATCTTTTCTTAACTGAAGAAATTGCAGATCTTTTAACTCTATCTTCTTTAGTTGATCCAAGGAGCCGAAGACTGAAGTGAGACTTATAAAGTTCTATATCAATAAATTCTGAGTATGGCTTCCTAACTCTATCAGCAACTTTTTCTACAAAACTCCTAAGATCTCTATAGTTGATAAAATATACATAATTATATACAATATACCAACTGCATTTGTTAGTATTAGATAAACTAGCTAAGGTAAAAGTATTTAAAATTACAAAATATTTTAAATCAAAGTATAAAATATTAGTATAGGTAATTAAGATTCTGGATAATAAATCTTTGCGAGAAATTTTATATTTATCTAAAGAAGGAAGTTCAGGATTTGTGAGATCAGGATACTGTCTTGTGTCGATATTTAGAATGAGGTGAAGAGGCAAATTCTCATCAATGCATTTGTGAGTATCAGGAATCCTATAAATTTCAGACAGGTAATCAACTATAGTGAAACCCTTCTCTGCTACCTGAATAATATATTTATCAAAAATTTTCTCAGAATGATAGGTATCTAGAAGTATGATATCATTTTTACTATTAGACAAATATTGAAAATATATATAATTATTATAACTAGGCTTATAATTAAGGTCTGCTAACCTTAAGAAGAAGAGCCTTATAGCTTTATTTATTTCACTAGGATCAGGCCCAGAGTTTTTTTATGCAAGCAATATAATAGTATATAGAAGAAACTATTATAAATTTACATAAAATTTCCTAAATCTTCAAAATAAAAAAGTGGGACGCTAAGTTAGAATTATATATAGAAAAGAAAAGAAAAAGTTACAACTTAGTATCTTACTAACCTTAGCAATTAAAAGAGTTATAAAAGTCAGAATAGCAAAGATGATATAATTTCAGCAATCAAAAGAGGCATGAAAGGCAAGATTATGCATCTGAATTACCAATTCAGCACTTTGTACCTTATCCTTGGCAACCAAAAGGATCATAAAAGATAAGATTGCAAAAATAGTACTTTGTATATACCTTACTTAGCAATTAAAAGATAGCAATAGATTGTGAAATATCTGGCAAGTAGATAGATTGCAAATTCAGCACTTTGTGTCTTGCAACTGATTGCATCTAAAGAGACCATGCAGGCCAGAACATAGATTCTAATTTTTAATTTTGACATCCAAAATAGAATTCATGATGTGAGCTCCTCTTTACCTAAGCTAGTTTCCAAATTGAGATCCATAATGTAACCTAAGCTAGCATCTGAATTGGGATCCAAGGTGAGTTTGGGATCCAGACCCTCGATACTAAAGACAATCTCTAAATCAATACTCAAAGCAGAGTAAATAAGATAACCAAGACAGTCTCCAAACTAGCATTTAAGGCAGAGCAAATAAAAAAGCCAAGACAGTTTTCAAACTAGTATCCAAAGCAAAGTAAACAAGATAACCAAAACAGCTCCCAAAAGGTTACAAAGTGCCAAAAACAGAAACTAGATAACATCTTACTTATAACTAAGCAATACTTTACTTATAACTAGATAACAACTTAATGTAACTAGATTGTAATATATATATATTACAACCTAGTTATTTATATAATAAATATAATAATAAAATAACTAAAAATCTATTCTATAATAATATAAAAATTTTATAATATATAAGCTACTATCAAGTCAACAAAAAACTCTCCCTGTAGATTATCTGGTCACAAAATCGAGCTAAAGGTTACCATATAGATAAATTACTAGACTTACTAATCAACACCCTTTAGCGTATTAAGAAAAGAGATATAAAGAGCAAAAATACATATAAAGAAGTAGAAGAATAGAAAAAACTCGAACTCAAAAAGTAGCTTAGAAGAGATATTATCAAAAATTTACTACGAAAAAAATTTTTTGCAAACAAAACTGGCAATCCTAAAACACTCTAAAATGCAGATCAATTACATAACACAAACACATACAAAGCAGGTAAACAAACAAATATGTTACTGAATTACATATCATATGTTAAGAAGCAGAGACGAATCACGCAAGATCAGAACCAGATAGTTCATAAGCAATTTGAGTAAACCTATGAAAAATTTTAAAAAAAGGCGAAGTCACTTCTAGAAACAGGATTTAAAGAACCTAAACAAAAAGAGTAACCACTAAATAAAGTATAGAGTATAGACAGGGTTAATAACTATAGATTAAAATAAGCAGACATGTAGAACAGAAAGAAAGCAATCAGACTTGTAGAAGTAGTAATGAAAGAATACAGTAAAGAAATAATAGCAGAAGATAGCGGATCAGTAATGGGTCTAGAAGATCACATAGATAAGATGATAGCAGAAATATTAGAAGTAGACAGTAGTATAGTAACAGTAGCCAGAGAATGAAGAAAAGTCATAGAAAGAGCAGCAATAACTGAAGGAATCGATAGAGTAAAGAGCATTCTAGGTCAAGAAGTCAATTATTTAGTAGCAGCAAATAATGAATTAAGAGCATAAGAAAGTAAATCAGATATAGAGATGATATATCAATCAGATTCAAGTAGTATAGCAAATAATATGATAAATTTAAAAATAGAAGTAGAAAGAATCTAACTACTAGAAAACAGTAAAATCGAAGAACTACTAAACTAAATGGAAGAAGTTCAAGAGACTAAAGAAGAAGAAATCAGTATGACAAATACAGGACAACAATATACTATTTCAGAGGAATCAGAAGATAATGTTCTCCCTGCAGAATCAGATTCATCACTAGAAAGAAGCATCTGGGCACTAAACAAAGATAGATGTGAAAGAAAAGGAATAATAAGAGCTAAAGTAGTAGCTATTAAAGTCTTAGGAAATAATGAGAAACATAGAGAAAGATCACTTAGATAGTCGATAGAAAGAAATGTTAACCTAAAGGAAATTTCAGAAAAGTTTAAACATAGCAATCTCTGGTGTATAGTAATTTTTGACTGTCTTAAAGGCTATGAAGAAGCAAAAGAAAAATTAGGAAACAAGAAAGAAGAATACTAACAAGTCAATCTCTTATTAGAGGAAAACGAAGAACAAGAAGAACTGAATAAAACAGCAGAAAATTAAGACACAAGAAACTCAACTCAAGAGGGCCAAGAAACAA